CTTTGTTAGATTGTTTCCTAAGTATTTCATGTTTTTGTTCAGTTGTGAAAGGTGTTGTTTCCATGATTTTGTTTTAGTGTATTTGTTGTTTGTGTACAAGAATGCTATGAATTTTTGAGTTTGACTTTGTATCTAGCTACAGGAATGAATTTTATTATTAAATCTAGAAGTATTTTGGTGGAGTTTTGGGGGTCTTCTATGTAGAGTGTCATAGAATCTGCAAATAATGATAATTTAATTTCTTCCTTTTCTATCTTTATTCCTTTTATTTCTCTCTCTTATCTAGTTCCTCTGGCTAATGTTTCCAGAACTATATTAAAGAGGAGTAGTGATAGCAGACATCCTTCTCTAGTCCTTAATTTTACAGTGAAAGATTTCAGTTTTTAACCATTTAGTATGATGTTTGCTGTTGGTTTTTCATTGATGGCTTTATTGTATTCTCTGTAGGATTTTTACCTTGAATTGATGTTGGACTTTGTCAAATGCTTTCTGTGTCTATTGAGATGATCATGTGATTCTTGTCTTTGGCTCTGTTGATATGGTGTATTAAATTTACTGATTTGTATATATTGAACCATCACTGCATTCTTGGGATGAATTCCATTTGCTCATGATGTTTAATCTTCTTGCTGACTTGTTTCATTCTGTTTGCTGGTATCTTACTGAGGATTTTTGCATCTGAGTTTATTAGTGAGATCAGCTGTATTTCTCTTGTTTGGTTGGATCCTTCCCTGGTTTTGGAATCTGGGTGATAATTGCCTCCTATAATGAGTTAGGGAGTACTGCTTCCCTTTCAATTTCATTAGAGTTTGAGGAGTGATGGCATTGGATCTTCTCTAATTTCTGTGTAGAATTCAGAAGTGAATACATCAGGACCTGGGCTTTTATTCATTGGTAAGTTTTTAATAACATTTTCAATTTCATTAACTGACACTGAGTTATTTAGAATTTTTATTAACAAATTGGCTTTCCCCATGCCAAAGGCTACAATTAGACCTAAATTTATCACCATGTACTAAACTAAAATCAAAGTGGATCAAAGATCTAAATTTATTAAAACAGAAA